ATATATATATATATATAATTTATTGAAAAATATATATAATGATAATTTTACGATATCTGTTGTTTCTTTTCACAGCCCGAACTACTTAGGGCTATTATCTGTTCGTGTCTAAAATCGCCATTTCACAGGTGAGAAATGCAAGGCAATTCGTGGCTGACGCTTTCAAAAAGTTCCTCCGACCGTGGATGCGACCGTGGATGTAGACGGTTACAGTTCGTACGTACTTCTCGTCTCGTATCGAGTCGAGAGGAGCCGAGCGGTGCATATATAGGGTGTGCTTTACATAACAATCGCCGCTAAAGACTTGCAGCATTGTCCGCCACGTGCTGTGAGCCGAGTTCCTATGGCGGTTTAATTAAGTGTGAACCACAGGAGCGTGGATCACGCCTCACTTGATCCGATGATGGCCTCGCGCGTTCCAGATATCGACGAGGAAATAATTCCACGTTTCTTTCCATGATATTCCTTGGAATTCTTCGTTTTAACGTTTCGATGGGAAAATTGATTCGTGATAATCGTTCTTTTAGAGTGATAATGTGATTTGCTTCCCTGACGCGATTTGAACGAATGTAAAAAATTTTTACGACTTAAATTTTCAATCCCTTTGGATCCAACACTGTGTTTTTGAATCGATAATAAAAATAATAGGTTAGAAATATTGTTGTAGTTATCTTTAATTTAATTATATTTAACTTATATATTTATATATTCTTTGATCAAAAAATTAGAATCACTTACGATTTTTCAATATAATTTTAATAATTAGTTATTAATTATTACTTAGTTAGATTTTTCATATAATAATAATTTATATATGGTAATTATTCCAATATGAATCCAATTGAAAATATCAGAAGTTTATTAAAAAACTACATAATCATTATATTAACTGATTGAATTGAAAAAAAATTCTATAATATTTGACAAAATCATACAAAAATGGTATAATAGAATGTGTAACTACTATTTAAATAGACATATATAGATACATTGTCAAAACAAAAACAAATTATTATTAAATACCGTTAGATCGCCATTAAAATTCACTAAAAACACGAAAAATATTGAAAATTGTCGATGCTAGTAAATAGTCCGAATTTTTTATAATATAAATTGATACAATAATATAATATTTTGATAATATAATTGATTTCGATGTTACAATTAAAAATAATTTAATTTTTTGAACGAAGAATAACTATATTATACTTTCTTTTCTCATCGTTTATAAAAGATGTTACATAATTATTAAAATAAGACAATTTATCCATATCAAATTAAACAACTTCCAAAAATCGGCAATCAATCATCACTTCCCCTATCTGGACTATCAAAAATTAAACAAAACCTAACTAAATTACCTTCGAAGAATAAAAAAATTAATTTTGTTGTATATAGAATTGCTTCCAAGTACCTAGAAAAAAAAAGATTGTCCCCACCGTTAAAAGCGTGTCACCCTAAAAAGCGGCAAGTATCTCGTCGGGATCGATCGGCAGG